GTAGGAGAGGTGTTCTCATGCTCTTTTGCTACTTGTTTCATTTTTAAGGCATGAAAAATCAGAAATGTCTAGTTAGTGACTATATGTACAGTTTTCCTAGAACATAAATCCCATGTAATATGAGAATCAGCTCATCTTATTTTGTTCCCGCGACCCTTTTCTTCTTCTATGCCCTTCCAGCTGCCTAACTGCCTGTCACCTGGCCACCGCCATAAAACAGGGTCAGTGAATTGACTGAGGGCAACATTAGAGAAGTAGATTGGAAGTGCCAATGTGTGTAAATAGTATGCCACTAATACCTTGCCATACAAATAAAAAGTATTATTACTACTTGCCCTTAGGGGCTTTTCAAGAGATCATGAAGATACACCCACTAGCATTCTAAGCTGACGATGTCTTAAGATGCTTAGAAGGTGGTGGGCCTTTCAGAAAACCATGGTAGGTTTCCCTCTCCACTAGATTGAAGCCATTTTTCTGGATTTACTTATCTGAATCTCTTAAGTGCTTGACTTCATTGCAAAGTCAAACTAAAGGCAATTAGAGAGAAATAGAAAGAAACTAGATCAGTTTAATCTGTTGTTGTTTGAATGCACATACCTGTGTGTGTGGGGGGGGGATGTCCATGGATGTGCATGTTTCACTATAACTAGGAGGAAATAAAGTTTAAACATAAAGTTAGTATTCCGCAAAGAGGTGAATAACTATTCAGATGTCTTGTACTGCTTTTGATGAGATCTGCTGCCGTGGATTTTGTGTTCAATTAATGCAACCGAAGTTTAAAATATTCTCTATCTGAATCTGAACAGATGGCTTTATTGAAGTTGACTCTGGCCTACAGTAGGTACACACTTTAAAATCTGGTTTTATGGTCACGTTCTTTTGAGTGCTGTTAGACAACAAAAAGATTTTGTTTTCTAACTTAATTGGGCTAAACCAATGAGAATTGCAAAGTCTCAAATGAATTTAACATGATTCATTTGAAAACAAAAACAGGAAAGTTCTTTTGTTTTAGGCACATGATGCTTTTGGCACTGAGAATAACTTCGACACGTAGAATTTTAAGCATTTGAGATATTTTATTGTTCAAAGAAAAGTTGCTGACTTCATCACGACTATCAGTCTAGTAAAAATGGAGCCCAGAATAGTAAAACTGGTTCCGAGCTGAGGCAGAAACAGGTAACCTCTGACCTCTGACTTTCACTGGAAAATGATATGCAGCATGAATCCACAGGGCCTTTTTCCTTTCCAGCGTGTGTATGTGTATGTTATGGTGTTGCCATTCACAGCGCTATAGTTAAGGTGATGTCAGCACTTTCAATATAAAGCCCTACTTTCACAATTTAACTTACACCTTGAGTTTGCCAAAAGGTGAAAATGGAATCTAAATTCTTTTTCCTGTACTCCAAAATTGCTACATGGGATCAGAGCCTAGTGTTTTGTTTGTTTCTTTCTTTTCCTTGCTTTTTAAAAAAATATCTCATCCACGAACTGGCAGCTAGTTTAGCTCCTGTTCGAAGGCCTGCAAACTGCTAAAATGTACTTGAATTTACAATTGTAGCATATACGTTTCCTCAAACATAATGCGAGAGAAGGATTTCCGGAGGGCACGTGCCCCATCCAGGTCCTTCCCCTCTGACATGTCATAACAAGGAATTAGGAATTTTGCGTGTGTCTTTTTCTTTCAACAAGGGTTCTCCAAAGGCCAATTTAATAATGAATTCGATTGTAACAAGGAGCCATTTATCCTTCACATTACTACAGTTTTCCACTTACGTTGCTTCTCTTTATATCTTTTCATATAAGACCACCACCTAGCTTTTGTTTTTTAAGCATTTTCACATAAATTATCTCATTTAAGTGATCTCAGTTGAAGCTTTCTAAAGCAGTCCTGGGTGGCAGATGAAATCGGTCTAGCCCCATTTGACAGATGAGGAAAATAAGGTGTGGATGAGTTGAGTGATTTGTTGAGGTCTTGGTGCAGTGTCAGAGCTAAAATTTCAGGCTCCTGGTTATTTATCTAAGATTCTTCTCATCACGCCCTCTTTCCCCAGCTCTCCACCAAAGAACTCAAGGCAATTACTTCCACTGTGATCAAACAGAAGCTTTCTGTGCTCATTTCCCTCTCCCTCCCCGCCCCAGCTTGAGAATGGGGGAAGCTGGAGTCCCACCTTTCGTTTTACCTGCCCTTCCCTGTGGGTTCTCTTTGGCAGTGTGATTTATTCCTTGCTAAATGCAGAATGATGCCCAGAAGTGTTGCTGCAACAACTTATGTGCATTTCCATGCCAACCATGACCCTTCTAAACCTCTTTTTCATCCCCGAGACCTGTGGAGCTGGGCCTTTGTGCAGCCTTCGGATTAACTGTGCACAGTGGCTTTTCCATGTTTCCCCTGTCTGCCTTTTCTGGCAGCCATGGCTGTGTAAGCCGTGCCAGCATTTGGCCCGTAGTGCATGTCCTAAATAGTTATTTACACAGTTTGAGTCCATTTTAGTCAACTGGGTAAATAACAGCCCTCTTCAAAAGATTTATAAATCCATAAATATGTCTTTATACATACCCAATAGACAGAAATAACTCAATCTGTCAAGAGCATATCCAGAGAGGTGTTTCCCCCACAGACAGGAGTAATACATATTTTAAAACTTTCTCTACTGTATTATTTGTACTGCGTTTCTTTTTCCTCATTCCTTTTCAATTTTCACCGCTTCATTATGGCACCTGTGGTACAAAAAAAGGAAATCCTCCAGGCTTTAGTCCTCTGTTAAATAACCTTATCTACTGCACAATGCGGGCACGGAATGGGCCAGATCTCAGCTGAGTCCTGTTCTTTTGGATTTTCAAAGTAAATAAAATAAAATGTCATCCAGGAAATTTGTAATGTTCTGGCAGATTTCAAAATACAGTAACACAGTTCCTAGTTAGAGATCTAGTAATTTGGGGGATTTTGAGTGCCTGATAATTTGACAAGTTAGTGGATGTTGTATTTGATTGGACTAGTTTTAGTCCCAATTTTTACCTAAGCATAAAAAAATCGAAATCCAAAATCCAATCCTGGGCATTCTAAGAAGAGTATACTTAAATTAAGGTATATAATTAAGAAAATACCAAAGATATTATTATTCTTCAGGGGTTTAATGTTTCTTCATGATTTACGTAATGTATCTTTCCCTAACTCAAATTATTTATCATGGCAATTCATCCCATGACATCTACTTTCATTTGATATTAACACTGGTGGCCCCTTGCAGGAAATTGATTCTTTAAGAGTGAAGCTCCTTTAAATTGGCATTTAAAAGGAAGGCCTAACATCTGTGTTTGGTTGGGGGTTCTGCTGCTATTGCTATGACTTGATTTTATCTATTCTTTAACTTCTTCGAAGCACTTCCAAAGATATGAGATTGAATTCTTATTTTATCCCTGTCCGTTATTTGCTGTTTTCCCACTTCAGAAGAGAAAAAAGTAAATCTCAGAAATATGGAAGTGAGTATCTGTCAGAGTCAGCTCTAGGATCTTCGTCTCTTGCCTGTGTAACTGCTTTGGGACAAGTGTTTTCAGGACCCCAAGCAGAGTCTCTTAAGATGAGACCCACAATGGCAGATCCTTGACCCTTGCATGTGCCTTTTCTATCCTACTGTGTGCAGCTGCCCTACTGACCATAATCCAGGTTTACTCTAGGAAGCGTGTAGTTTGGAACGAGAGAACACCAAACACATCTGGTGCCTTTTCCCACCAGATTTGTACTCCTTCCCAGAAGGGCTGCCATAGCCACTCTACGACTTAGAAGCAGCTCCAACTAAGACTGATAACATTCTGAGTTTGGGCATGTCTCTCTCTTTGGTTCCAAGCCAAGAGAGATGAATACGTGATAGCAATAAGGGCTGAGATCATGGGGGTTGAAAGAAGCTAGGAGACTTGCTCCAAGTCACATACTGGTTGGTGGGAAAGTCAGGACTTGAAACCATGCAGTCTGACTCCAGAGCCCAGGCTCCTGACTCCTGCATCCTATTTTATGTAGTACTTTAGTGTGGCCAGGAAGGGAAAACAGATCATTTGATGGGCGTTCTTTCTGTTTTCAGTTCGTTGAGTCTTTCTCCAGTGTCTGCACTGGGCTTGGCACTCTGCTCTGGTGGGGACAGAGCTATGAATGAAACAGATTCAGCATTAGCCTCCAGGGGGTTCTACTCTCCTGGGGGGTGAGAATCTCATTTTGTGCACTAAGTACAATGATGATTGAGATACTTATGGAGGAGGAGGATGATTGATATGATTAATTTTGTTATGTATTAAGAGCCTATACCATTTCACTCACTCAAAGACTTATTGAATTGAGAATAGGAGGGTAGAAAACAAGTAAGGACATTTCTCTCGCAGAACATTTCCCACTTAAAGCTTATCTCATTTTCCTCTATTGTGGGGATAAAGAAAAAGTATTATTTCTACATTGAAATTTGATGTAAAACATTTCAACCCTAAAGGACTTTAATGGTTGCTGAAACCTCTAAAACCCACTTATGAACTTCTTTTAGGGGCAGGACTCAGATCAACAATGATATCTTTGCTCCCACTTAAAAAAAAAAAAAAGGCAAAACCAGTATGCTTCTTTAAAGAGGAACAATTGAAAAGCACTGCTATGTCTTTATAATAATGTATCAATAGTTGCAATACCTCCCACGGCCCCATCCCCCTCCGTGCTAGCTTTTGTATGAGTTCAGGCAACCTATAGGCAGAAGGCAATTCCATTTATTATTGAAGGGAATCTCAAGGCAGTTGTTTCAGGCCTGTGAAGCCAGCAGGCAGAGCTGGACGAGAGGGGGTGGGGAAGGGCCACATTATGTTCCAGATGACTAAGCAACGATTTATATACCAGCTCGCCTTTTTACATGAAGAAGAAAAGTAATAACAGCCCAAACCCAGGCATTGGAAACAGTCAGCTGTCCGATGAATAATGGGATAGGTGGGAAGCAGCGCTCTGATTGGATGTCTTAATGAGCACATTTCGC